TATCTCCTACTTTCTTTGGTAGTCATCCACAGGGTGTAAACCTGCAACACATTGCTTTTTTTTTTCCTCTGGTGCTGCCATCATCTATTAAACCAGCCCTTTTTTCACATTGACTTTGCCAGGCACATGTTGCCCCCCCCTCTTCTCTGTCTGTGACCGAGAATGAATGTGGTCTCCTCCACTGTCACTTTTCGCTCGCTTTATCCCACTCCCCTTTTTGAAGTACTGTCATTGCCGGGCTTTGAACTGCCATTTGTGTTTTAGCCGGCACGCTGCTCGTCTCCACAGCTTCGTCTGGTGTGAAAATTGCCACAGCCACAGGCCACATTTCAGCACAGGGGTTTTTGTAATAATAATTGCACAGAGCTTCTTTATGGACCGGACACATTCAGCGAGCTCAGCAGCATCCTGTTTCAAAGCGCTGATGCTTTTTGTGCCCTTTGCATCTTTTGTTTATGCATTTCTAATAAATAGTTTAGTGATGCTTAAACTGCAGCAATCTATTATTTTTTATGCAATTTGAGAGGCTGGATCGGCCTGAAAACATAACCCCAGATCTGTTTTTAGTGCTAGAAATAAGATACATGCAATTACTCTCAATACTGTTCTCAAGTTAAATTAAAAAGAATATTTCTAGTATTTGCACTGTTATTGATTCTTTTAATTTTATGCTATTGTATATGTAATGATAAGATAAGATTTATTCATCCCTCATTAGGGAAATTCACCTGTTACAGCAGCAGATAATCAAAAAGAGGTTCACAAAATAACAAGTGAAATTAAAAAGAGAATGAAAATAGCCAGTAAAATTGAAATAGAATTAAAAATCCATCGAAGATTTACAAAAGAAAATCGAAATGAGGTTGGAGCTGCTGCAACAAGCTGCCAATCATGCAGAGCCATCTTGAAAGATAGATGCAGTTTTCCCATATCCTGAGGGTGGAAGGATCAGTAGCGTTGTACGCTGTGCACTTTTAAGGCCCCTTGATCGGCCCAATATCACATATTTGATTTAATTTATTAGTCTACATAAATAAATTGACTTGGCCATATGTTCTCTAAATTGCACAATGTTCATGTGACAGCTGTAAATACTTTGCAGGTTAAGATTTTATATCAACTGATAACTAATGATGCATTGTTATAGATTAAACCACCTGCTCACATGTTTATGCACCAGTAAAAAATACTAAAGTAAAATACATTACTGGTCTCTGGACTAAAATTTTTTCTTCATCTTATTCACTCCACTCCACACATCACGGCTGAGTGTTTTACTCTGCATGCTGCTGTGCATTTTACTTTCCACTCCACATGTCCTTTGCTTTGCATTACTTTCCTTCAGTATGAAAATCAATACTCTCGCTCTTGCTTGAGTCGAGTTATCCATCACAATTTACATCAAGTCCATTTTCATCAAAGTTACATTACTGGTTTGAGGTAGTGCATTGCTGACGTTTTATATTAATCTGCATTTAAACTGCATTATCAAGCAGCTGTAATTTACATTCACAGAAATTAAGGCAGATTCTTGTAAAATCACCATTGGTTTTCCCAGTCGTACAGAAATGAAGTGAAACCAGTGTCTGTCTGGGACAAATATAACCGAAGATGTTCAGCAAAAATGTAAAAATTACTAATCCCTCAAAAGACTGTGTCATGTGACAGTCGCACGCTGTGTCTGAAGTCACTCCCTAATCACAATATAGTGAGCTTGCTATTTTGTAGTGGGTGTCCTAATGTTAAGTGAAGTTTTTATACCCTATATAGTGGACTCATTGTCTACCACAATGTATCATGGAAAGCATTGGTCACTAAAGGCTGGTTCATGCTTTTGCGTCGTTGTGCACGTAGCCTACGCACATAACTGCCAGTGGTGGTTTCTATCCTGGTGTTGAGTGACTTCCGGTTTCTGCGTATTTAGAAACTCTCTGGCGTCTCTGTTTACTTCAGAACACGGGCTCTGCTTAGGGTACATGTCTAGGCACAGGCTACGGCTTAGCTTCAACGCAGAGGCATGAATTGGGTTAACCGAGCAATATACAGTATACCATCATGCATTGCACTCGTGGTGGAGAGACAAGGGGAGCGAAAGCAGCAGGAACAGTCTGACCTGTTGTTTTAATTAAATAGAAGAAGAGCAGCTCATCACAGCCCAAAGTTGGGGAAAGAAGTTTGTTTTTACATTTAAAGATGTTTTTTTGACCTTAAAGCATAAATCAGAGCAAAATAAACATTTAAAAGAGAAGCAAAGAAAATGCACCGTTTTGTCCTAAAGCCTTTTTTTCTTTTCCTAATGAGCTCACTATGAAGGGTATATAGTTATCACTATATTGTGAAGTAGGGAATAGTGAATGAGTGATTTCACACAAGTCTCCCTCAGCAGGGGCGGATCCAGGGGTGGGACGGCTGAAATCAGATTTGCCCCTGAAGTGCCCCTGTAATAATAAATATTTTCTAAGCTTTTTTGAAGTGCACAATGTACTAAAACAACAATTCTCAGAGTTTATTCAGTGACGTTTGTCTTTGCACAAATTTATAGAGCTAATAAGGAATGACTTACTGAATCAGGAATTGTGCATGGAAGTTGGACGTATATATTTTTGGAGCCTCTGTCTTAACTGTGGCCTCTGATTTCAAACTTTTAGATCTGACACCGTCCCTCAGCTCTCAGCCTTAAAATCACCTTTTGTTCTAAGTCTCACAAATACAATGCTCTATTCAACCATGTTTTCAGCCACAGCAGGCTGCTGTTTTCAGCAAAACATCTCCAGACAAGCCGAACATCAGCTGTACATCAGGCTCACCCACAGTAAGCTATAGCTGTGCTTGTTAGCCTAATGACAACAGCAGCTTGAGTGGCCAGTAATGGTCTTGGACCTTTGTGAGTCTCCCACTGATGAAACCAACTAAGTCCTGTGCAGGACTTCACTTGTTATGAGAGACCTCTGGGAAAGGTTTTTTAGTTACTGCAGTGATGGCACAGTGCCTGTCTCCATAATGGCTGGCTGGGCTGCTGGTGAGAATTCTGCAGCTTTAAGTGTCACCAGATATACTGTCGCTGCTTTGTTTCCTCCTGAGCACTGAGAAAACAAGCTGTCTGATGCACCTGCGGCGGGTTCCCTCTCTCGGACACAAAGACTTCTGGGAGTTGTAATGTTACCTTGGCTGAGGATATTTGTGTGATGCAAAACATACTGTATCTAAAAAAATACTTTGATCCTAAAATATGCTGTGTTGGTGATAAGGAAGGAAGTTAATTGAATCCCTTAATATTTTTTTGCCAATCTCTGCTGGCGCACGCTCAAAGATCCAGGCTATGCACCTCATTTGAACTGTGAAACTTTATCATTTATGCACAGTGCTCAGTGTTTACATGTGATGATGAAACAAGGGCACCCCAAGCTCAGAGACGAGGTCCAAATGCTTCTATTTCACCGCAACAAAACCAATTAGCAAAGCTCTTATTAGTCTGTTCCCTACTTTCCCTCTCTCTCTCACTCACTCCTTATCTGTGAATCTCCCTCATCCTCAACGCCAGCGGGAGATAAATATGTCTTCTGTGTCCTTGGATTCCTGTCGTGTAAGCACCGGCGGTGGTGAACACTGTTTACCGGTGTGCATGGCAGGCAAACAGCCGGCACGGTTTGTCCCGTGGGGCCAAATTCACCTTGTTACCCTTTTAATTAGTAGGAGCAGTTAATAGTGCTGTCCGCATCTGCCGCCTTAGATGCTGCTCCAACTTCACATATCCCTCAGATCGATAGCCACAAGTCGCACTAAGGCAGGCAGATGAGCAAGAGGCGAGGGGATCTATTGTGGGAGCAGCCCAGGTGCATTGGATGCTTTTTGAAGAGAATGTAAATAACACAATATGCTCCTTGATGGAATCCTCAGCGCCCGTGTACGTATATAACTATCCCTTTTCCTTTTTCCATGTACATTTGAAGGGATAACAAGGTCTCTGGGTTCCAGGGACCTGCACCTTCCTATCACCCAGTGTCTTCTCATCCACATTTCCTCTACCTTGAAAATGAATGTAATCAAAAAGCTAAGGGTTTGCTCTGCAGATTCTATTGTGCCCTTATAAGCTTTTATCCCTCCCAACTGCTCGCCCTGTGCTCATTTCTTTTCTTGTTTTGATTTAAAGATGCAGTGGAAGTACTTAGCATTTAGATGACATGCTGCAGGAGAGGTGTGATGGATCAGTGCCTCTTCAGAGGACTGAATTTCCTCGACAGTGCCGCAGCCGGCCGACCCGGTCGGACGGACAGAACGACGGATCGCAGGACGTCAGGCTGGGTGGGCAGCGGAATACCAAGTCTGCCTCACTGCTGCAGAGAAGCCTGGCACCGCCGCCAGGAGAGAGGGGACTGCTGGGAATGCCAATTCACTACCCAGGCAGCCGTCTCGCTTTGGCTCCTCCGATTGGCTAAACAGACGATTAGCTTCTTGATTATGATTAGCAGAGTCATTATCTACGAAAAAGTGGCCCATTCACCAATATTAAGAAGGCAAGGGAGCTGTTTTTTTCCTCCGGTCGAGGGGAAAAGTGTGTGATTTCATGTGTTCTCCTAAAGATGAATGCATGTGGCAAGAAGTTGTTGTTCACAGAGAAACAAAGTGGAACACTGTTTATCACCCTGCCCTACAGCTAATGTGATAAAAAAGGTTCTGTCTGTGTGATGCCACTGATGGAAGAAAGAGAATGTCTCTCACTCGTTAACGCGGATGATGAGGTGGCCATTACTTGCTCGTATTTTCCGCTCGAGGAGAGAAGCAGTGTCCTCAGAGGTCATAAAAACAGGGAGAGAACAAAATAACCTTCATCTTCCTCCATCTTGCCTTAGATATAATTGGAATACATGCCATCTGTGCTTTTAAATGGACATATGCTGCTTTGTATCCAAGGCCAATATGCTTAAGGAACGTTGAATAAAACGTTGATGAAGGCCGTCCCTCTGTTCCTCAGATGCTGACCTTCTGCTTCTCTTTTCCAGCCTATGCCCAAGGAGCCGTCGTAGGATGCAGAGGAACACAGCAGGTATGTGAGTTTTTAATGATGTATTTTATTCCACTTTGCATACCGGGTGCAAGTTGGGGTCACTTTGACATCCAGCTCAAGCAAACACACTTTTTGATTGGTGCATCTCGAAGAAAAGCAGAAACATAATGAATGGCAGAGTCTGCCCCTCTGTTCTAAGTTGTTATACAGGGTCAGTGTAGCTCAGAGCTGGAATGAGTCTGATATTATCTTCTATTCATCAAGTGTTTTCCACTCTCACTACTGAGCTTAAATAAAGATCTTGTAGTCACAATGGAATCTACCATTTCTCAGGATTCAGTCACTTTGATGTATCTATGCAAAGAAGAAATATCAAAGACAACTATTGGATTTTGGGAGATCCACAAGGGTGGAAAATAAAAGACCCGACTCTGGTTACATCAAAGAAAGAGGCTGCATCAAGTGTCAAAGCTTTCTTTTATGACCAGAGCGAAACATTGATATTTATTGGAGGCTCTTTTTCTTCCTCAAATGCAACAACTAAAAGAAAAACCATGTTTTAAAAGTTATTTTCTAAATTTCATAGTAAAATATTCGTACAAATGTTGATTGCCTTCTTAACGTTCCCTCCAAGTTGATACCCGCTTATGTCTGTGAGTAAATGACAGCCGGTTAGCCTGACCCTGCTGGGAGGTGAACTTCCAACTATTTTCTCTAAAACCAAGGAAATCTGCTGAAGATTAAACTGAATTCCTCTCCTGAGAACATTGACTGAGTGTCTGTGAAGCTTTTATATTCTGCAAAACCATGGTCATTTAGAATCTGCATGCTTTATGTCTCCTAGCCAATATTCTAAGATTGATTTTCCCTCTTCCACTGAGAAAACAAAATGAATCACGCACAATTACCAAGGACAGGGAGAAGAGGGGAATTGGGGGCGTCATAAATATTTATTTGCAAGCCCTGGGAATTTGTGCAATTCTGTGTGGATTTGCCAACTCATATTTAAGTGTCTGAATGATTTATATGGTCGGTCCTGGGTGACACATTTGTCCACTGTCACCCCGAATCATTTCTGTATTAACATTTATGGATTTATCCATATGACATATTCATGGCAGGGTTCTATTATCATTCAAATGGGTTTCCTGATTAAATGATTGGTTAAATTAAACCATTAACTGCAGAATTTCACTGGAGATGGAAAGGAATGTATTAGTGTATATACTCATGGACCCTTTTCAGAATTCTTCATAAAATTAGCTTTGTTAAAGCAGAATAGGTCAGATCTGTATTATATAAAACTGCTGGTCTTAGCAAGTTTTTTTACATTCAGTCTTGTCCATTATATAAATGTTCAGCATCACTTAATGGAACAAGGATAGCATTATATTTGGAGCCTCCTGCAGCAAAGGTAGAAATGGCACATGAACATGAATGGAGATATAAAGAAGATACAAAGGAAGGAAAATGTATTAGTCGTCTCACAGGATGAATCAGAGATTGTTTTTCAGTTGAAGCATTAAGCAAAGACCATCACGAGCACGAGTTGCTCTCAAAATGAAGACCCTCATAATATTTCACCATTTATTAGATAGAGGTAATGGTGAAAGAGCGACTTAGAGCATCACTTAATTATCATGCAGATGACATGACAATTAAATGAGTCACTAAGTTTATTACATTTATTACAGGAAGACAAATACTTAATCTCTCTGCATATTTAACCTTGTTTCGTGATGCTGTCGTCTTTATGTTAATAGATTTCAGTTTGGTGTTGTGTTACAGTAAATGAAATGTTATGCTACATTTGACCTAGTGAGACTTGCTGTCATCATTTTAACACAACAGAGACTTGGTGGTCTATAATATTGTCAGCAATTCAACAAAGTTAATGTCTGAAAACGGAGGTGGGTTTTTTTCTTATTGAAGAAGTTTGAAAGCGGGATGTATTTCACCTTGAGATTCTGTAAAGACATAGACATAATGCTAAAAATTGGGGAATTTTAACAGACTTATTGCACAAGAAATCCAAGTGCAAAAGAAAATATCTAAGAGCCGAGGAGAAACCCGAGTGCAGGGCCTGGAGCGCAGGAAAATCTAAGCACAAGCACTGTTTATTTGAGTGTGAGAGCTGTGTTGAGTGAAAGCATTACCAAATCTGAACGAGAAATCAATAAGTCCTGCTCTCAAACTATAAGACACACTCTTGAATAGCAATAGGAAAAAAAAAAAAACATAAGAAAGGCTTATGGATCATTTTTGATTGTTGAATACGATTTTGATCTGATCACTGTGTTTTTTCTCCATTTCCCCAACAGGCTCATTGACATCCATGATTCAAAAAGGAACTGATGCCAGTCACTACAACCGAACATTGTGTCAATTCACCGACAAGGCTCCAAAACTTGACACCAGGCCTGATCTTCCGTTGAAAAGAAATTAAATTAATACAAATAATCACCCCTGAGCTTCTCCCATCACCGCAGTGGAATACTCTCGGCAGACACTTGTAAGAACTCTGAGAAGTCTCAAGTGAGCAGCATGGTACACCATCGCCATCAAATCTTCACTGCAGCCAAATTCACGGACTCATCATAGAACAAGAACCCTGTAAGGAACAGTTATGACCAGATGATGGAATATTATTGAAGTACTTTACCTGTTGTTTTTAGTGAGCCACCGCCTGTCAGGATTTTCGCAACCTTTGTGGCTTGAATTACACTTTGTCAGAAAGTCTCTAAGAAGTCAGCCCCTTCCTTTATCATCACTGCTGTGAAACTGTCCAGGGTTATATTCCAGCGAAGTTTCTTTAAAGAGTCATGGCTTTACTGTTGAGCCAGCCTGCATTGTCCATTGGATTCTATCCTTCTTAACACCCCCCTCTCATTTGGCGGGTTGAAACTTTACAAGGCTGTAGCCTCCAAAATCTCTGCTCACACAGTTACGGACAAAGTGGACGAGAAAAAGCATGGAAGTGGATTGGGATGTTGCAGAAGAGACGACAGATGAGTTGACTGTCTTTCCTCTGTGAATGAAGGTTATGATGGTGAAATGTGGACATTTTGGATGATTTAGCTTATATCTCATGTTTTTTTTATTATGTGGTGCCAACATAGACTAGATGAGTAGATTTCTGTCAATGAGCCTCACACATCTTGTACACATCACCAGGAGCATTTGGCACATGTGGACCCCTGGCTCATTTTAATGGTCTGTATTTTGAGTGTATGTGAGTTGGTGGGTAAGTGCGTGTGCGTGTATGTGTGTGTGAGTGAGAGAGAGAATGTGCAGATGCAGAGATACACTGTGAAATAAGTAATGTCCAATGCATTATTCATACTCTTGTATATTTTTGGGACACGCCCAGACCAGAGCTCACCATCTGGTAAAGCGCATTTGTGATTTTACAGATGTTGGATTTCATTTGAATCTGTGTAGATGAATCCTGTGTTTGCCTTTTCTTTTTCTTTTCTTTAGTACATAGAGATATTTATTTTGGGGGGAAATATTATTGAAACTGGGTAAAGATCTAAAGTATGTCACATACGGTAAGTTCAATTCTGTAATTAAAAATCAATTTATGTGTGATTAAATGTAGTCCAGAATCCTTGACTAAACTGACTATTTTCATATGAAATGTTTTGGTTGGCTGCTGGAAGTGTTATTTGCTGATTTCGATTTGAATTTGTGTTTTATGTTCTGTTGATCTCATTGAAAGCAGAGTCGAAGAAAATGAGAATATGAACAACAGTGTGATATAATAAAACACAATCCAAGTACCACAATGTGACAAGCTGCTGTAATCTTCACAGAGGTCCTGTTTGTTGCAGGGTGGTTGCAGTAGATTACATTGTATTGTACAGGTGTCCCAATTTTTTCTGCCTGTTTTTGTTTCTTTTATTTGTTCTAAAAATTCCTGTACATCTTAATGTATGCATATGAAGACATAAATAGAGTGTCTGCTCCTGGGAGCTGAGATGTGTGTATTTGGTCCAGGTATTACCTTTGTCATGGGGACCTAAATATGTTTACACAGACACATAACCACTCCAGTACCTTTTCCACCACTGACATTTTCAGGACCAGTTGACCTCATGGGGACCAAAACCCTGTCCTGAAGAGGAAAAACTTTATTTCTCTGGTCCTGGTCAAGGTTAAGAGAAAGCTGTGAATTGTGCTTAGGTTGAGGACAGAGTTAGGTTTGACTTGGTCATGGTTATGGTAAGGAGCTCAGAAATGCATTATGCTGATGAGTGACTTCAATATAATACCATTACAAGGATGTGAGTGAGTGAGTGAGTGCATGTGTGTGTGTTTTCCAGGTTAACAGTAGTTATGACGTGAAAAAATAGAATTTAAAATAACTTTCATTTCATGTGTTCTTTATTTATCGCCTCTTAGGTTTTCTCTCATCATAAATAAATTGTCCCTTTTGATTTGACTCACCAGCACTGCTGCTGCATTCACACTGAATATTTTAGTAAGATCTAGAAATGACGAAAAAATGGACCTCCTGCTCTTCTGCCTAGAGAATGGTCTAAAAATGTGGTACCAGCACATATTAAACTAATTTCTGTGAGTTCTGACACGTAAACTCTGATGCACTGTGGGTTAGGGACTATCAACTGGCCCCAAGCTGAGAAAGAGCCCTTACATCAACAGGACTAAAAACTGCCTCAAACATTTATATATAAATGTCTTGTCCTTTTATTTCACTCTGTGCTTGTTACGAAAGAGGCTTTGGGTGAAACGTATAAAACTTCAGGCCAATTACTTTCCAAAAATGACAAAGCAACAGTAACTGAGACAAACTGGAACAAGAAAAGTTTTCTTGCACAGACTAAAATGAAATTGGGTAACCCTTCCAAGTATGATGTATTATAACGCAGACTTCCACAGTGGTATATTACATTATAAAAGTGTTTGTGTGAGAGATGACTCACAATGGGATGTGTGGTTATTGAAAAATAACCTAAATTGCTTGTGTGGAGTGATTTATTTTTCATACCTAGGCTGCACTGTGCATCACAAACTTGCCACTTTATAACATGGATGCCTCCCAAAGATGAAAATATGTCTTTTATTACTTATGTAATATGCTCTATTAGAAGGAAACTTGCAAAAAATAATTTAAATATCTAACAAGTAGGAGAAGACGTGCTGTTACAGCTGTGATCCATCCATAATCTATAATGCTTATCTTTCATGCAGAGAGGCTGCAGCCGATCCCAGGAGACATTGCGTAGCCAGCATAAGAGACATACAGAGACAATCGTTCACATTCACACCCATGGTTAATTTAGACTCTCCAATTAACCTTATCCACATGTGTTTGGACTGTGGGGACAAGCCGAATTACGAAAACATACATTGGGAGAACATGAAAACCTCACACAGGCTTCTAACCCAAGAACCTTCTTGCTGTGAGGTAAAAGAGCTGCACCACAGTGATACAGAGCTGTGAAAGAAAAAGATATACCCCCCACTAATCTTGGCTGAATATAATGTCCAGTGCAATTAAACATTACAGAGATAAGAATTTTAATGAACAATATTTTGAGTCTCACTGTTGCCAATTTACTTAATCCATCGTAAAATCTTAAAAGGTAGCTAGATAATAAATAATGTATATACATGTGTTTATATATGGAGGGTTATGCTCCTGGAAACTAAAGTCTGTCTGTCTCAGAACATTAAGTACCACGTAACATAGTTCTTTTCAGGAAAATTCATACAACATAGCAGAAATAGGCCATGTTTGCTGGAGGATGGGTCAAGATAATGAAGAGTGTTGTGTGTTCCTCTCGGCTGTAGAAAAAGGAGATGTGTGGTTCCTGCGCTTGCTGCTGAGCCAGTATTCCCACTCACCTCCCACAGTTAGAGACGTTCTTTCAGCGAGGCCCCGCTGCTGCTTCCTTCCATTCTTGAATGTCAGTCTTGCTGTTTCAGGGTTTTTGAATGTGGGTTGCTGTCAGGATCAACAAATGGTACGATGGTGGTATCCAGCCTCCTGCCAACTATGGTATAGCACAGTGTACACTGGATATCTGAACAGTCTGACTTTTCTTACCAGAAGCAGACAATGAGCTGTCATGAAGCTGCTATGGCAAGTTATCTTTGTGTATTCTGGATGCAGGAAGATCTGTACAGTTCATCAGATCTTATAACTGTTCAGGCAGAAAGAAAAAGATGAGCATTGGCAGTAGTGACGCTTGACATTATTATTATGGTAATTGTTGGATTGGCTTATGACATTTCTAAGAGGAGAACAATGTGCATAATAAAAGGTTGTAGCAAGTCTTATGATGCATTAAATGTTTTTGATATATGTCAGCATGGCTATGCTGGGCTGGATGTCTCGCACACGCGCATTAATGGAAAATATGAATGCATGAGCCACAACACAACTGCAAGAACCACAACACAAAAGTGAGCAATAACAGATTATGACAATGGAATGAGAAGAGCTACTGCTGTGAGCCATTGTTTGTTTTCTGTTGTGGCTTTTGCCGTTGTGTTGACACTTTTGCATTCTTGTTGTTGCATTTGCATTAGTCTTTTCCGTTAATGCGCTTGTGTGAGACATCTGACATTAATGATAAGGGGAACAGAGAGAATAACCTCACTACACAAACAACATCCAATATGATACGTGTCAAAAAGCACAGGTCAACAAACAAACAGAGGTCAGTGAAGCACATCAAGATAAAGATCATGGAGGTAAAATAAATAGCAATAAAAAAGACAATAAATAGATAATAAATAGACATTTGTTACATGTGTTATTGTGTAAAAGTCACAAAGGCTCATAAAAGATGTCATTTGACTACTGTCTGAGTTTAGTAGCCTAATAGCAGAAGGAATGAAAGATTTGGAGTATGGTTTAGTTCTCCTCAGAGGTACATGATAACAGCCGCCGGAAGGAATCACTGAAAAAATGCATTTAAAAAAAACAATAAAAGTTCCTTAAAATCGCTCACTGACATTGACTGACAGATTCACTAATGAAATGGTTTCTTTTGTCCACAAGACAGAGACTCAGTGTTAATATCAAACTCAAGCTTACAGTTATAAACCATGTTATGGTCAGTGTATGACTCGTGTCTGAAGTCAAAAATCATTTCCTTTGTTTTCTTTCATACAGGTCAAGGTGATGGTGGTTTGGGAAAAGACAAGCTTTATTTTTAGGCGGCACACCTGCACAATTGTGATCGAGTGCTTTCAGTTTGTGTCATTTCCAGTAACAACCATCATGCAACATAATAACATCTGACCATTGATCGGTTCTGGTCATACGAGTTGATTTTCTGTTTTTCTGCAGCGAAACTTTCAGGTGCAGGAGGAACAAGTGTTTCAGTGCTACAGGCCTCTCATCATCGTCTTCCTGTCTGTGCCATCGAGACCTCGTCGACCACAATAGATCCCCGGCCGAGCCTAATGAGACACAAACACACCCCAGAGGCTCTGACTGGCTTGCTAAACACGGCGTCGTTGAACGGAGCAGCAGTGTAGCGAATTAGCATTTATGCCCACATAAAAATCCATTTACTGATCCATTAGCTTAGCATAGTGCTAATGAGTTGCTGGTGATGACTCGCAAGGGGCTCTGGTTTGCAAGTGAGCCATCATTAAAGGTAGACGCTTACAGGGCAATAGCTTCATGGGTTGCATTGCAAGGAGTAGTACTAAGACTTAATGTGTGTCATTGATATAGTTTCCATTTTGTCCAATTCTACTTCCATATTTTCTCAAATGCGACCCAGAAACCTCCTTGTTTGGCCTGTCGGAGATGGAAGTGCAGCTGTCACATGAAATCCGTTGCTCTCTATCCCTCAAACAAACAATGAGGTGGTGGCTGCACTCAACAATTACAACCTGTCCCTGATAAGCAGAGCACCGCTGGCTGCTGAGAACCCTTTAAACATGGCTAGTTGGAAAGTAGAATACAATCAAAGGTATCAATTCACTTGGCCCTATGCAGCTTATATCAACCTAGCTATTCCGGTTGAGATTTCTGACTTTATTATATATTTTCCTGACCTCTCTATTATCACAACAGACATTTCAGTGTTAACTTCACACCTGCTTACAGGTTAAGGTATGTGGAGCGTGGCACCTCACCATACCCACTTGACACTTATGAATGTGTAAAGCAGACATGCAGCTGAATTAAATGTCACTCACACCACTGAGTGATTCCCTGTGAGGGGAGAAGCTGGTGTAAAGATAACGCATCATATGAAAACGTTCCCTCGCTGCCGAAGCCTCAGTTCGAAGCCCTTTTTTTCGGTGCCTCCACACTGAAGGGGAGCAAGCTCTGGGGGGAAGATGAAAGTATAAAATGGTCGTTTTGCTAGAGCAACACAAGCTAATTTATCATTCTCCAGGGGTCAGGCGACACTCCCCTGGTCGTGAATTTTAATGTTGTTTTTTATGGGTCTTAATAAACTCTATTTTGCTGCAAGCGTTTATGCAGAGGAGCACAACATCCTTCACTTGGCTCATTTAAGGAGTCAAGAAAAGAGGAGCTGGAGCCAAATTTAACCAATGGAGTCATTATTAATTTTTTACACTAATAGGACACAGTGAGGTGAAATATTGACAGTATAGGAGAAGTTATGGGAATTATTTGCATGTTTTTTGAAGATCTGGGTTGCACTGTCAGACTGTGCATGCAACATTACATCAAGATATTACATAGAAGCAATATTTGTGTTGAATAATTTATGCATGCATTTGCTGGAAAATTTTGTACAGAAAGGGTACTGCTGTACAAGAGAGAGGGAAAGGAGAAAAGAAAAGGTGGATACCCGTCCCACAACCACCTAGCACTGCTACTTTGTGTTTAATTTGTAAGTTGTTGATGGAAAGAAAGTAATTCAATTTATCGTTCAAGATAAACCCAATTCTCTTCAGGTGTAATGTATCAGTTAGTTCTGTGATCCACAGCTTCACTGGAGGAGCTTCTGCTTTTTTTCAGACATTAGGTAGTTTTTTTAGCTGCTATCAGCCCAAAGGAGACAAAGTGTTTTTGAGAAGCAGCAAGTTTACTTAAAGCCTCCGGTTTTCCCAATATAATCACTTTAGCATTTGGCTGCAGTGGGATTTTCAGTATATTGGAGAAGATACTGAATATTTCATTCCAAAGGCTTTCTATTCTGGGGCAAATTACAAAAT